TTACAATTATTTAATATGAAGTTTTTTAGTTTTTTGTTGAAATTTAGAAAAATCATTATAAGCAAAAAAAAGATTTCGAGATTCATGCTCTAAAATTTCAATTGTAGCTGCCATTCTTTTAAAAGAATTTCCATCATTCATAGTAGATTTCCAAAAAAAGTAAAATACATATGCATGATTCTTTTTTTTAACTGCGCTACAAGAAAAAGTCTTTAATCCCCACCATCTATGTTTTTGATGTAACTCCCATCCATGAAATACTATAAAATGCATATAAGGAGTTACATGAACTGGTAAATAAAGACTCTTAATAATATTTTGTAGATTTTTAGAATCTCTTTCATCAGGTTTTAAAAAAAGATTTAACTATTCAAATGCTAAATGTTTTAAGTATAAAGAATTACTAGCTGGATCGCACATTACTTTATACAAATCTATAAACTTGTTCTACAATGATCGAATTAATTGGACTTAACTTGGACGAAATAGAATACCTAAATTAAAGTACTATAACACTTTAATTTTATCGTCACCTGTTAATGATGTATATTTCCAAGTATTTATTTCTTTCCAAAAGTGAAACTTAATTTTAAGTCGTTCTATTTCATTTATGATTATTTGACGACTAAGATTATTAAATAAGTTTTTTTCCTTAAGTTTCAATAATATTAATGTCCAAAGTCTATCTTCAATTCTTAATAACATGTGTAATTCATCAAATACATAATTTGATAATAGAATCATATTGAATAACGATGCCTTAATATGATCTGGAGTATTTAAATAATTGTTTTTCAAATCATCCATTGACTTCGTAATTTGCCAATCCTGTGTAATATCACTAATTTCATGCTTAGAGCAAAGACACCAAGCACAAAAGTAAGTTGAGTTTGCTACATTTAGTCCAAGGCAGATAGAAAGAAATTTCTAATCACTACTAAAGTACAATTCGAAATGCCAAAGAACACCTGCAACATTTAATCCATTATTTTTAAAATCTCTAAGATTATTAAGAAACAGATTTAATACAACTTCGAGTAATTCATATTTTTCAACTCCAGGGTACAAGACAATGGTATGATGATAATTGGGTGTATGATGATGCTTTGTGTTATTAAGAATCATAAATATAATCATAACATGTTTTACTTTTTGTCCTACATTTCGGCCATCCCCAGAAATTCGTAGATGGATTGTCGGATCGTGAACTGAAAAAGTATTTTTTCATAACAAATAAGGAATTACATATTGAAGTATTTCCTTAAAATTACATTGACCATCTATACTTACTAAATTCAAATGCTCATTAATTGTATTATTAGAATCTATATAATTAGATTCTTCAATATTACTATTTAAATTAATATTATTTACTGCCTTGCTCATATTTATAGATTTAATTCGAATTTTATTAGTCATTTTCTGAGTTAACTTATGTTGTTCGTTTGCAATAATATATTCACGTAGTAAATGAAAATTTATTGCAGCCAAGTTTCTATATGCATCCCATGAAATATAAGATGAATCCATTATTTTAATTATATTTAAAACCTCTATTTTTTTTTGTATAAGATTTTCATTTCCAAAATCAAAATAATAATTTTGATTATTAACAGTATATTCAAATGACATTAATAAAATAGAATCTTGTGAATTATATTTAAACTCAATATTTTGAATAAATTCTTTTTGAATTGTTGTTGCAATTTCTTTTGCATGTTTTCTAAGAGTTGTCTCTGAATATTGCTCTGTGGGTTTAATTATATGTTGTTTAACATGAAATTCTCTAATCGTCCTAAGTTTTTGAAGCTGTAGTCCAAATAATAAAGGTCCAGATAATAAAGATTTTTTATTTGTATTCATATTTATAGCTTTCTCATAATTTGTTGCGGCATTAGTAACTGATATATTTGATTCAATTTTATATTCAAAAGAAGTACCATATAAAATTTGAAATCTGGGCTTTCCATTTTTATACTTGATTTTACATTGGACAGTTCATTGATTTTCTCCACGTCCCCAAGTAGTTTTTACAAAATAATCATCAGGAATTAGGTATTTCTTAGGAGGCAAAGTATAACGAAGTTCTGAAGCATGTAGATAAAATTCCTCAGCCTCTATAAAATAATTAAATGATCATTGTGTATGATTATTTTTTGTTTCTTGATAAGTAATTGTAGGGACTTGAAGATAATCGGCTAATTCAAAAGTTTTGATTTCTAATTTTGATTTTTTGATCATTGAATGATTTGACATCACGAGAAAAAATTTAAGTGATTGGAATATTTTCAAAAAAATTGCTTCAATAATTTTTAATGCAAATGATTTTTATAGTATTTTAAAACTGAATATGTCTTTTGTTTTAATTATGGATACTTATATAGATAGAGACAAACACGGTTTATGATCAAACTTTTAATTATATGTAATATTTTATAGATTTATTATTGACATCATAATTAGTAATAGAAGGCATTCACCTTATCAACAGTTATTTTATTACAAACAATCATTTAAAGAACATATATGATAAAGCTATGAAAAAATTAGTAATTGTTAATACAATAAATCTATTAATTTGTTATAGTATTTAACTAATCTATAATGTCTGTAAACTGCAAAATAACTAAAAAGAAGATAAAAAGTAGAGAATTTAACAGGAAATTAACAATTGTTCTAACGGGTTTATGTCAAAATTCCAACAAACAGAATCCCAACAAACAAAATCCTAACAAAAATTAACTAAAGCTATAGTTAACACTAATCTAATGTAGAATACAAATTTTTGTTCTTAAGATTTATAATAATTGTTGATTTTGCATTAATTCAAAATTCCAAATTTAGATGTTTCGATATTACTGTTTAACTAAATTGTGCAGGATATTTTACAATTTTGGGTTATTACATTGTTGCTAAATCCTCTATAATATGTAATTATGATCGTGCATAAAGATGTTAATCTTAAATAACTGAACTTGCACTATTATTAAGAGTAAGTCATTAGCATCCAGGGTCTGTGGTAGCAAAATCTGCACAGAATTTATACAGAATTCTGCAAGCAGAATAAAAATTATTGGTGAATATAGTCTATTGTAATCAAATTAGAATTTTCTTTTTGTTATTACTGCAGAATTTGCTAATTTGCTAATTTAATAATAATTACAGCAGAATTTTTTCGTTAAAGCAGTATACTTAAAGACTTCAGATTTTTGTAGTATGCTATTTTTTGGTTAGCAAAATAGCTAGCAACAATTGTCTTGCGCTAAGATGCGAAATTTGCT